ATAAATTGGTTAGTATCAAAGAAACAAAGCATTTAGGAAAATGATTATACAAAACAAACACTATTTTACAACTTTCCTCTTAGCATCAGAGTCCAAATGCAATTTCAGGGTCACCAACCCTGCTCTGAATTGTAATCTCCTGTGCTTGAACAAGTTGCAGATTCTCTTAATAATCCTCCATAGTTGTGACAGCTTGGTCACAGAGCCATCCTTGCCATAGAGGTGGATTGTTGTAGGTAACTTTTCGGCCAGCAGCCGGTGCTGTGAAGGAGGATTAGTGAAAGTGTCATTGACGATTGATGTTCTACGCCCCAGCCAGGGCCATGCGGCCCCCCCCTGGTCATTTGAGTTGCATCATCGTATCATCGGGGGGTGCAGGTCAGATTAGCCTTATGTACACGAGGAAGACGAGAGAATGACTGTAAAGTGTTCAAGGTAGTGTGCGTGCTTCAACGCCTGCCAATTTCCGATAATCAAACATCACATACTAGAAATGTTTCTTTTTCAATGGTGTGTTGCCTTGACATCTTGTAGTTAAATTATAGTAATATTATTATTATTGACGATTACGAAAAGCAAAATACCAATCGTTCGTTCCCAGCAAGATCTGCTCCGCGTTTTGATTCCAATTAAAATATTTATAAACTAAAATAAAAAATATCAATACAAATAAAAAATAGTTTTGTCATCTAAATAGTTTTGTCATCTAAATTGTTTTTCCAAGAAAAAAAATCAACAAAAAAAACATCCGTGTAACACCAAGTGCCAATAATAAATAATTAATGACGCGTCAAATAAATAAATTTAAAACGGTCACATGAAAAGGACAGGGGACAGGGATCTGCAAATTTCGCCTGTACCCTGTCCTTTTCTAAATTTCCCTATTACTATTACTATCAAATTTTGAAAAGGACAGGTGAGTGGCACAGGCGAAATTTAAAAATTTAATAAAAAAAAAAGTCTGCTGCTGTAAGCAAGAAAAAAAGAAAAGAAAAAGAAAATTCCTGGGAAGATGTCACCAGGTAAGTGGTGGCTATTGTCACTTGTTGTCACTCTGGTTTTAATTAAAAACAGTAACAAATAATTGTTGGAACATAATAAAGTACACAACTACATAGTCAACCTGTTAATCCAAGAAGAAACCCTGTTAAACTAAAGAAACAGTAAATCCACCCCATTAACTAAACCTAATATTAATACTAATTTTAAATGGAACAACAGGTTTGAATATGTGGTTTGTGGTCCTATAAATTATGCATGCAAAGCTTGATTTCCTATATCTTTTTTTTCAATTATAATAATGACATAGAAAATCAGGAAACAAGAAATTTTGCCTGCATATTCTACAGGACCTAGGCCACAAGCTATGTATACTTATTATGTGTGTTTTTCTGTAATTGGTTCTCCAAAAATTTTCTGTAGTGTACTATTTGATCTAATAAAATATACTCGAATCTACTAAAACAAATAAACAAAGGATAAATTTATTATATCAAAAAATAAATAAAGAAACTTTAAAGTATATAAATAAATGTGATTGATTTTGGACTGAGTGATGTATCTATATACAATATCTAATAATCATAATATCCTTAATGACAATTTAGAATTGGGTAAAAGAGGGGTATTACATTCAATTAGATTTGGAGGCAATTGGTTGGATTTTATAGTAATAGTTAATTAGCCATTGAATCGAGAATACCAGTTAGGTGCATAGGCATTAACTTTAAGTAGGCCTAGCTGGTTTGATTTTTGAGTTACTAAATGGCAAGTTGGTCCCATGCACTCCAAATTTTTTTTGGATTAATAGTAGCAGGGGCAGTAGTTTTATTTTTTTATTTAATTGTTTGTATTTTATTATTATTACACAATTATACTTTAATAAAAATAAATTTCAACTTGGGGAAAAAAAATTTTTTTTCATGATGCTGCGCAAAATTGCGGATGATTTTTATTTGTGGCTGGAAAAAAAAAGGTTAGAAAAAAAATTTTTATACAAATTATATAAAAAACCACAATGGAAAACACTTTGGATGAAAATAAATATCATGATGATACTTCTACTGACAAAAATGATGGATATTCAAATGAAAGGAATGAATGGAATGGGAAATGTCCAATATGCAATAAATATAATACTGATTGGGCATGGTGTCAATCATGCAATCCCAAGCTATTAACTGAAGGATGGACTAGTGGCAATGAAACATTAGATGGGTTGATTAAAAGCACACAACTTAAAGCAACCAAGTATCATCTAGTAATCACCTTCAATGGATTCCTTATAATAATTTAACAAATATTGAAAGGACAGGTAAAGGTGGGTTTGTAACTATATCTAAAGCTACTTGGTTAAATGGTGAGAAAGGTATTAGTGGAGATGAAAGAGATAGTAAAGATAGGACTGTGGCATTAAAAAAAACTACATAATTCACAGAATATTCTCTTAATGAGGTAAATTATTTTGTTTTTCTATTTATTTTCTGATTTTTAAACATTATTCTGAATTCAACATATTTTTTAGTTCAGAAATTATGTTACATTTTATGGTCATCCATTTATAAATCATGTTTATGGACTAACACAAGATTCAGCTACAAAAGAATATATCTTTGTAATGGAATACATGAAAGATGGAAGTTTTCAAAATTATGATGTTCAATATATTAGAAATGAAAAGTATGGGAAATGTCCAACCTGCAATAAATATAATACTAATCATTCATGGTGTCAATCATGCAATCCTAAGCTATTAACTGAAGGATGGACTAGTGGCAATGAAACATTAGATGAGTTGGTTAAAGTACACAACTTAAAGCAACTGAGTATGGTAATTATTATTATCTTCAATGGGTTCCTTATAATGATTTAACAAATATTGAAAAGATGGGTGAAGGTGAGTTTGCAACTATATACAAAGCTACTTGGTTAAATGGTTATAATATACAACATATGACAAAAAAATTAGTGAAGACAGGACTGTGGCATTAAAAAAATTACATAATTCACAGAATATTTCTGATGAAATTCTTAATGAGGTAAAATTTTTTATTTATTTTCAGATTTTTAAAATATTATTCCGAATTCAATGTATTTTTTTATATAGTTTAGAAATTATATGGTAAATCATTTATAAATAAAATTTATGGATCATTGCATATCTACCTGTACTACTGAAATATGCTGTAACAAGTCGTGGAAAGACTTTGGGATGGTGAATTAGGGCATTTCTTCAAATGGGACAAATTTCAAAACTGTGGAATGATTCACATGCATGGCTTTACCTACACAAACCAATGCCATTATAATAAATGAAATATCTATGGTGGACAATGATCTGCTCACCTTCCCTGGGTTCAAAATAATAACTACATTGAACTCAACACATATAACACCCTTGATCTTTTTCTTTTTGGTATTGGTATGTTGACATTAATGTGGTTCACATCAACCAATTCTTTCTTTTCTAGAACTTGCTTTCTCATTAAGTGAAACATCCCAAATTCCAATAATCTCTCAAATCTTTTCAGCAGTTGGACATTTATCTGGATTAGCATCCATGCATTTGAATGCTAGTTCAATATAGAATTTTGGTGTGTTGTTTGAGAATCCAGTTCTTGCACCTTTACATATTTTCATTGCAAGATATTCATCATGTGCCAAATTATTAAATGGTTGTTGACCAGTTGATACTACAGACATCAAAACTCCAAAAAAAAAAAATCATTTAAATTAATTTATAAGAATCTAATTTTTATTTTTATTAAATAATTTTTTACCATTATTTTCTGAATCACTTATTGAAGCATCATTTTTTTTCTCAGGTTGTATTTCTCCTAGACCTTTTGTAATTGAATTCTTCATTGTCATCAATTGGGCCTTGACAAAGAGATCTATCTAATTGATGGTTTTCTAAACCTTTTTTTTACTTTTTTAAATCCAATAATTTCATGACAACCTTTTTCTGACCTAGTTACATCCATTGTTTACACCTATAATTGTCCTTTTCATTGTTTATTTGTAATTAATTTATTAAAAATCATTTGTATTATTAAACATATCTGATATTTAATCACCTGTCTTAAAGTCAGATCTATATATTTTTAAAAAAGGTGACTTGTTTTCTAAAGATTTCGACAATGATAAACTAATTCCGTTTTTAAAGTTTTCTTCGGTATGTATTTCATGTTACACGGTATAAATTTTCACGTTCAATGTCTTCTACTACTACTGTACAAGTTGAATCTCAAGAAACTGACAATACCAACACCAACAACAACACCAACACCAATACCAATAAAAATACAAATAATGTCAAGGAAAATCCAGTTGATGATGTACAAACACCCCAGGAATTAGTAGCATATGTATAGAGAAAATTCGATTTCTTTATCTCTTGAGATTTTTTTAAATGATAATAATATTTTGTATGATCTATTTTTTAGGTTGAAAATGTAGTTCAACAAATGGTATAAACATTTTTCTTAATCATATGATTTTAGATTTATAAATAATAATTCACTTTTTTCAAAATCTTAGCAATCAAATTTTGATGAATTATCAGCAAGCTTATTTTCCAAAAGTAAGGATTAAACTTTTTTTTTATAATCATTATCATACCATAAGAATAATAACGATAATAACATCACACTATTATTATTTAAATTGAATATTTATTAGTGGATAATATGGGATCAAGAATAGATACACTTGAAAAATCGCTTGGAGAATTGATGGAACAAATGAATAAATGATTCTTAATATATATATTTAAACCAAACATCTCATTAAATATTATATATATTTACACAAGTAAATTAAATTAAATAAAATAAAATAAATAAATAAATAAATAAATAAATATAAATGTAATTATGATTCTAAAATGAAATTATAATATAAATGTAATTATGATTCTAAAATGAAATTATAAATATGATTTTAAAGTGAAATTATAAATATGATTCTAAAGCGAAATTATAAATATAATAATGACAATGTTATTGACCTCCCTCACCGACTAATTTAAATTCAACACCGTTAATCTTTAATTTCTCATTTTTTGATTTTTTCTTTGGCAATATTTTATTATTGTTAAAATTTGATTTTGCACCAATATTATTAATAATACTGCCATTAATATTACCAACACCATTGTTGTTACCATTATTATTATTATTGTTACCATTATTTTTGAGATCAGCAACACTAGCATTGTTAATGTCTACAGTTCCATTAACAAAATCAAGATTATTAATATTATCTTTTTCCCTTTCCATTGCCTCAATTTTCTTTGTTAATTTTCTAACACGATTTTTAACCTTGATTTTAAAAGCTGCTTCTAACAATAAATCTGGTGTCAAAAACTCATGTGGGATATGTAATAAAAACTCCAAGATTTCTGAACTTGTTGGACATTCTTTAAGGATATAATCTTGTGAACATTCCATTATTGCCAGCCCAATTCTATATAATAAATTTACGCCCTCAAAATAAAACATATCCCAGACACGTAGTACAGATGCCCATGGTAAGGTCATGGTAAATAATGTCATGAACCATGGAGTGACATATATGAGTGGAATTACATCATTTTCTGCCTATTTGAAAAATATTTATTATTAAAGCTTATTTTGTTGACAATAATTTTTCAAAAAAATATATATAAATTACCAAATGTTGTGCTAATTTAGGATAATTTTCAATTAAAAGTTGTTCAAATACGATGGAATTTATTCTAATTTGAGTCAACTTGGGTGTAAAATAGCCAACCATATATTTTTCTAAGGTTGCTACAAGTAACCAAAATGAATCTTCTACTGGCATTTGCATAAGCATCATGCCAGCCAAGCGTCCCATTCCTTGACAATACCCTATTGATGGATTATAATGTGCATATGCTTTAAGAACATCATGAAGGTCTTCTTGTCTAAAAAAAAAAAAAAATGTTAATATAACAAATAAACATTCGTTTATATATGATACATAAATAATAAATACCCAAAACCAGTCTCTTTTCGAAATTGAATATGGTCAGGATAACATCTATGTATATCAATCTCAATTATATCATAAATAGGAATAGCAGGGCGTTTCCGTAATTCCTGAATAAATTCAAAATAAATAATATTTATATAGATCTTATCTAATATTTATAATTGAAATAACAATAACTTACATCATAATAACCAGGTTTCCTAAATTTATCTGCACTTGCCATAAATTGCCATGCTTTTCCACGCAATGACTCGGGAATACCAAGACGAACCAATTTTTTAATCTGGTCAATAATCATTTCAAAACAACGACATTATTATTACAATTATTATAGCCATATATTTATTTATTAAATTATGTAAAATATATATATTAAATAATAATACCTTTCTTGAATCCCTTGCCATAGTAGGATTCATGTTACTAAGAATATCCAACCATTTTGCTTCATGTTGACGATATAACTGAATAACACGCGTAGATTTTTCTTCGGTACTAGGAGTTTGTATACTAAACGTTGTATTATTAATATTAGACATTATTTAATTTAATTATGTAATAATAAATAATAAATAAATAAACAAAGAAATATACAAACATTCTTGGAATCCTATCTGCTCCTATTGTAATTTTTTCTTCTGAAACATTATAAACAAATCCATATTCATCGATAGTAAGAATTTGTTCCTTTTTCGGTTTTACAGCCTCAACTTGATTTTGTGAATTGTGTGATGTCATGGATGATGATGATGATGGAGGTAGAGGTGGCGGTGATGGTTCAGTTGTTACTGAAGATTCGATTGCTGATTTATCTATTACTATTGATGTTTCAATTTTGGATGATTCTAAAACAATTTCTTTTATTTCATTATTTTTGAGATCTTTAGAGATAATAGTGACTTTTGGATTTTCTTTAATGTTAAATTGTTCAGAGATTAATGATTTGGTTATAGTATCGGGTACCAAATCTATCTTAAAGGTTGGAATGACAACAACATTTTTGTTTTGATCAGATTCAACAAATGAATTCTTGCGATTATATAATATTAAAGTTTCTTCCTCTTCATCCTCATCCTCATCCTCACATTCATCCTCATCCTCATCTTCATCTTCATCTTCATCTTCAATTTCATTCAAATCAGTATCCTCAACAACAATTCGAGGAGTATTTAAAGTATTTGTTATGTTATTATTATCATTACTTTGCATCTCTGATGATGGTGATGATGATAATTCAGTAGAAACGGTAGAAGCAGCAGTAATAGCATGATTATTTTCATTTGTAATGGTTTCATGTTTAGCAAGTTTAGGCGAAGGTGAAGGTGAATGATGATTTTCCATATTATTACTATTACTATTAACGAAATTTTGTCTATTGTCTCCTGAAATAGAGTTTTTAAATATTAAACTATGAAAAATATGGAAAATAAAAAACGTATATATGTGTTTATACTCACGTTTATTAATATTAAAATTATTTGATGCATCAGGATGATAATATTCATCATGATGATCTGTCTCGATCGATTGATCTTTGTTTTGTAATATAGGTGTCGGATTATTATGTTCTGATATATAAGAAGCAGTATCACTAGAAATCAATATTGTTGGTGACGTATTTTGACATTTTTGTGATGAAACTGAACTTGATGACAATGATGATGGTAATAGATTTGGTAATGTGTTGTTTCTTCGAAGTGACGAAAGTGAATTGTTACCTAACAATTTATTATTATTATTATTATTATTATTATTATCATTATTGTTTTCATGATTAAATTCAATTTCATCATAGTTTGTCCTTAATAATAAACTAGATGATCTTTTTAGTGGATTGGCTATTATTATTGCCGGTTTTTGATGATTTTGAATTGCATCAGAATGAAGAAAGTCACTTTGACTTTTAGATAAATCTGGTAAGTTTCTAATGTTATTATTATTATTATCTGAAAGTGGTGTGTTATGATTTCGATTTGAAGATTTTTGCTCCAATTTTAATGATTTAAGATCTTTCAGAGGGCCATTGAAATCGACTGTGCTGCCTTTAAATCTTCCAATAACGCTTTCACAATATCCCTGAATTGATAATTAACATTAATAAAAAATTATGAATTTAACTGACCAATTAAATAATTATTCCAAAAATCTTACAAGAAAATAATCATCTTTAATATGTTTTAAAACTGTAACCGTTTCTCCTAATTATATTATGAAAAGTTTATTTAATAAAATTTTAATTTTTTAAAAAAAATGTTATTTATCATTTTATTATTGAATTTTATTATTATTCAATTACCAGTGAAAAACATTAAATCATCCTCGGTATCTGCCAACGTATCTTGATTAGCAATGCCTTTACCGATTCCGCCTTTAATTAAAAAATTATCAAAGTTATTAAATAAATTTAATCGATTAATTGTATTAAAATTATTAAATACCTCTTTTGGCGAATTCATGTAATTTTTCCAATTTTTTAGGATCTTGTGTTATTAAATGTTTTTCACTCATTTTTGTATTTAATAAAGAGTGTTAATAGTTTAAAAGGTTTATGTTAAAATTGTCAACAGATGATTTAAATTTTAATTTGAAGAAAGTGTATACTTGTGAGTTCATTCAAGTTAAAAAATATTTTCTAAATATCTTTTAGACAAAAAATTATTTTTGGTATTTCAAAAATTAATTCAGATATTAAAAGAATTTAAAACTTTTATCTATTTTACTTGGACGTGTACTTGTGAGCCCAATACGGTATTTTGTGTGAAAATGTATTTTTTATACTAACTACTAATAAAAATATCTTTTCCAAAAAAGGATATTTAGCATACATGATATGATTAGTATTAATGGCGTCAAAAAAAATCATTTTTCGAATTCGAAATTAAAAATCGAAATTTGAGATTAAAACTAAATTCATTTTTTTGCTTGCGGCTTATTCATGTATTTAAAGATAATAATCCTAGAACCCGAAATCTTTTATTTGCCGGATTCAAAGAAGTCTGGAAAGACAATTAAATGCTGTATAGCGTCAGGAAACGAAACATTTCCTGGAAAATATGATGCAAATTGTAATGATAGAAGTTCAGTGAAAGCCCTCAATTGATGGAAGAACATCTAGCTAATAATTGTGTAAATGTACCTGTTGAAACAAATTTATCTAGAAATTGTACTTAATAGACATCGTCACCATCTAGAACAATGTTCATTAAGCATTGCTTAAAAGGTACTAAAAAAAAGTTACCTAATAATTTCTCGGATTTTTTCTTTGCATTCTGAATTAGCATCTGCCACAATTACCAGATCTTTTTTTATTTTGTCCAATGCCTTCTTTATGTCCTTAATTGATATGTCTCATTATGCTTGGTAACAACATTCTCACAAGTCCATTCTTCAGTAGGGACGACGAGCTATATAGAAGAATTCCACAACAAATAGAACAAGCTACAAAAACTCCTGATAAATAAGTACATTTTTGAAAAAAAAACAATTTACTGATGGATCAATGATTAACGAACTGAGGATCTGTATCAAAATATTTTTTATTGTGAATGAAAAACATATTTATTATCAAACACGTCTGCTTATTGCACAAAAACATGAAAATTGTCTATTAAAGGCTCTTGTGACAGATAGATATTTAAATAGCTCTCCCTACATAGTAATGGCCATTCACAAGTTTAGCTTAGAAATTGCTAACTTAATGATACAAGACAAATATCAATACATTTGTATTATATGTTTATTTGGTAATAGTAAAAAACAATGTTTAATATTTAATGAACAATGAGATGAATTTTATATTGTTTTAAATAATTTTTATCTGAAATATTAAATTTTTTTATTTCTGAAATGTCTGAAATCTTTGATATCCTTTGATTATTTTATTTAACATTTGGTAATTTTGATATTTGGTCCTAAAAAATGAATTATCATTCTGAACATCTCTTCGAGAAAAAAGTTAATTTGACCATCTTGTATAAAAAAATTCACTTGTGAAAATGAGGGAATTGATGTTTTTATAATCATCTTTACATTCCTCAAAACACAGGGTGACAATTATTTATTAAACAGTTAATAAAGCTCAAACCTAAATTCAAGCGCGTACCATGACAATTGCTTACACATAAATTTTATTTCAAATAGCAATTATTATCGTAATGTTATGTTTATTAATATCAATAATCTATTAAATAAATTAGATCGTTTGGGACAACAGATCACCGCTCTTTACCTCCATGTGGCCGCTAGTTCTTAGGTGCAACATACGATTCAATGCTTGTTAGGTTTTATTGGAGCATATATATAAAGTTTTGTATAAGTCACAAAATAAAAATTCAAAATTGATAGCGAAAATTGACCTTTTAACATTTCCCAAAGCATAGGTTCTAGTTCTTTAACAGCAATTTTGGAATTTCGCGAGCATCATATTGAACTTCATCTAATTGAATATGAGTGGTCTTGTGATTTTTTTTTTTTGCCATATGATCGGTGACGTTACGAGCTATGTCCTTAATACTTTAAAAAAAACTTTTTAATAAGAACTAACTATATATGTTATGTTTATAGCTCAAGTGTCGTAGAATAAGGATTTTTGCACTAGCATTTCAAAGCTAAACTTTATTTTCGGTTTTTTTAGGAATTTTCTATGAAAAAGATCACTATTTCCCAATTTCCCTTAATTCATGGTCCGCCAATCAACTTTAACTAATTTCCGGGAAATTTATAAAGTTTCACAATTACAATTGTATAAATAGTGCACAAGTAAAACCTTTTATAGACTTTGACAAACATTCACGGATACCTAAAATAATACATAAAGTAATATTAACAAAAAAAAAATACTTTATTATTATCTTCATTTATTATTATAGTAATTTCTGGGACCACGAATCAATCTCTTTAATAAGGAGGGGGTTACGTTTCAATATTGATGAATCTCATGAAAAACAAATAGCTTTTTTAGAAAAAATAATGGTAGCTGTATGAGAATTTCCGTCGGAAAAATTGACGCACTAACCAAATTATTCACAAAATCTGCATATAAGTTCCAAATTGGTTGGTGCTCAATTTTGCCGACGAAATTACATAAAAAATAAGGTATTAGAAAAATTTTGGGCCTTTTTTATCATAAGAAGCAATCCAACAGCGGCAGCAATCTATCTATATAGTTTTCGCGGGTCCTGGGTTAATATGTTTAACAGTACTCCAGCCAGGCTTGATAGTGTAATTTGTCCATTAGACCCTGAAAAATTTACAATTTATTAATTGAAGTTGTAAATATTGCATCTTTTTAATAACAATTATTTTTATTATCATTTATATCTTTATCACACTATTTTTCTCTCTATCTATCTGCTTATTGTTGATCTCGTAATGGGTTTATGCGTTCGTGCGATATAAATTTGGCGTGTGACACAAATTTCAAACTCAATATCATCAACATTCATTATTCGATTTAGTGATGATAAAAAATATTATTATTATTATTATTATTTCGTTATTTTGGTAAAGTAGAAGGAATTAGTTTGTTAATTAATTTTATTCTATTAATTATAATCTAAATTTTTTATAATTCTGAAATTCCTGAAAAAAAAGAAAAAAAAGAGAAAGGAAAGGTAAGTATTTAAATATGACGATAATGATAATAATCAGTTTTTGATAATTTGTGTTTTTTTATAATTAATTCAATAATTCAATCAATCAATCAATCAATCAATCAATCAACCAACTAGTCGATAGATTAATAAATTAATATATATAAGAGCAAATAAATCATGTCATCAACATCTTCATCAACATTTTCATCATCGACACCGTCACCAACATCTCCATCGCACACCCCACAAACGCCACCATTAACAACAAAAACATCAAATAAAGGTAAAAATAAGATTAATTATGTTAGTGTTATTCCTCCTGGTAATTGGCAAGGAGATTTGATGGTAAAATTGTTGGTTAGAGACAGAAGAGAAAAATCATTCACTGAATTTGTAGAGTCTTGTAAGTTGTATGAATAATTACACTATAATATAATGAATAAATAGTTAGTATTAATAATTATAATTACAATTTACTTACCAAGTTTATTTCTGATCTAGACAATTCGCTTGTAAAAAAACTTGGAAAATTTGCAGATAGAAATGCAGAATTAGAAATATCACAAAGCTCAGCAATTGAACATCATGTTATACTATCTCAAGAGCTTGAGAAATTGAAACGATTTGGGTAATAGAAGAAAACATTATTTAGTAGTACATTATGACTAGACAGAAAATAAATAAATAAATAAGTTAATTACGTAATAATAATAATAATAATAATAATAACGATAATAATTGAATTAGGAGTGAGGCAAATATAAAACGTAATATAGAGTTAGAAGAGGAAGTAAGAAAATTGAGGGAGGAGCGCGATGAATCATATAAAACACAAGGTCAAAATGCTCAAAAATTATTGGATTTGACTGATGTTCTTAACCAGCATATAGAATTAAATAAAAAAAATCAAGAAGAGTAAGTATGTGTACAAAAAGGAGAGGAAAAATATTATTATTTCAATATATAAATAATTTATGTATATGTATCATTAAAATATTTTCATCTCTATTTCTGTTCATAATTACCCATTATTTATTATTTACTGTTTTAGAATATTGAGATTAACAGATTCAAACACGAATTTAAATAAAAAAGTAGATTTGTCAGTACAAGTAATTCGTGAAAAAGAAGTCAATATACAGGTATTTGTTTAATAATTAGTAATAAACAATAGATTATATTTATCAGATTTAATCTGTTGAAAATCATGTTTAAAACCTAGATATTACAAGATGAATTAGCAGCTTTACAATTGGAGTTGAGTAAACTAGAAGAGAAAATGCACGATCTTAAAAATGAAAATCATCAATTATTACAACGTTGGTTAAAGAAAAAGAATGAAGAAGTTGAAAAAATGAATGAAGCCAATAACTTTTATGAAAGGCAACAACAATTAATTAACAAATAAATCTAATTGATTACCGTTGTTACTATAGTCATTAATATTTATATATATATTATAGAATACTAGAAGTTCACGCTAAAACATTAGGTCATCAGAATGGTGTTGTATTAGTTAACGAAGATAATAATTCCAGTGACAATGATAATAATAATAATAATCTTGTCAATCCTGAAACAAACAACCATGATAGCAACAGGAATAGCAATAATGATAATAATAATGATTCACTAAAAGTTATATTAAATTCTGAAAAACAGAATCATAATAATCATAATCGTATCCGCAATAATAATAATAATATTAATAATAATAATAATAACAATAATAACAATAATAACAATAATAATAATAATAATAATAATAATAATAATAATAATAATAATAATAATACTAAAAATTCAAATAGGTAATTATAATTTTATTCTTACACAAACTATTTATGTTTTTTTAAAAAAAAAAATAATTATTAAAAAAAATCTTTAAACTAATTTTTATTAGAATGAAAGATAAAATAAATCAAAAAATATCAAGCCCTCCTACTGTTGTTGATTTAAATATAGTAAGTTTTTCTTATTCAAACATATGTGAAAACATCTGATTGGTTGATTGTCTAATGGTTTAATTTTCCCATTAGACTGCACATGATGGTGAAATACACACAATTGCATCAACTGTTGATGGAAGTATGTTTGCTACAGGAAGTGCCGATAAAACAATTAATGTATTTGATACAGAAACAGGTATTATATATAATAATGATTAAATTTTTTACGGTCATTTTTTATTAATTCGTCAATCCATCAATCGTTCATTAATTGATTATTCTTGTAGGGAATGTAAAACAGACATTAACAGGACCACATCAATCTATAATGCATGTGTCTTTTAATAATACAAACGAAGCAATTGTTTGTGCATCAAGCGATAATGTTGCTAGAGTTTGGTCATTAAATACAGGCAGAATAGCGGTAAAATAATCATTAAAAATAAAAATTTGAATTTTATTAATTTTATTGATATTTATTTATTTTATTATATTATCAATTATTATACAATAGTTTACATTAACCAGTCATTTGGGTAAAGTTTATTCTGCCAGATTTAATTGTGACTCTACCAGAGTTGTAAGTAATCAATTCTCAATAAAATATGATATGATGGGATTTGGTTAATATTATTATTTAATTGTATAGATTACAGGAAGCCATGATAGAACTATAAAAGTGTGGGATATTCAAAGAGGATATTGTACGCATGATTATAAATTCATTAATTAATAATATAATTCAAGAAAAATAAAATGTAATTAATCGATAAAAATAATATTTTATTATTACTATTTAGGTAGCAGAACAATTTATGCATATTCTAGTTGTAATGATGTGGTTTCATTAGATGATTACGGGTAAATTAACAAAACAAAAATTTGATCGAGATAATAGAAATCTAATAATTTTTTTCTTTTTATAGAACAACGCTTGCAAGTGGACATCTTGACAATAGCTTACGGTTTTGGGATGTTAAATCTGGTAAAGATATAAAAGAATTGACAAACATTCATCTTGGACAAATTACATCTGTTTGTTTATCACCTGGTAAGTAATAATATTAATAAGATCAATATTGTGCCTATTGTACGATTATATCTAATTATTCAACATTATACAGATCGTACGAAAGTGTTAACAAATTCTCGTGATAATTCACTTAAATTGATTGATCTAAGAACATATCAAATTGAACAAACTTTAAAGTAAATTTGATTGTTTGATTGTGTTGATTGAGTGAAAATTTAAAAAGTCATTTGATATTTAGAATATATAATAAATATAATTATAATTAATTTTAATTAGAGCTGATGGATACAAGACTGGAGCTAACTGGGCAAGAGTTTGTTTCAGGTATTTCAATATATATAATTAAATGTAATATAAGTGTCTATAATTAACTAATTATAATAATTCATTAGCCCCGATGGGAAATATGTTGCTGCTGGTTCATTGGGTAAATAATATACATACAACATATAATAAATAAATAAATTAAATAAATTATATATAATTGATAATACATATGTCTAATTACTTGTCCATTATTAGAGGGATCAATATATTATTGGAATTCATTGACTTCTAAAGTAGAAAAAATAAATAAAGGAGAACACATGTAAGTAATATAGTTGTTTGATTAACTATATGATTTTATGATTATGATAATAATCATCCTCCTTTTTACACTTATATATTTATCTATTTAATTGTTGTTATTATTATTATCAGGGCACCAATATGCGGTGTTTCTTGGAGTTCATATGGTAACAAATTATTTAGTGCGGATAGAGAGAGAACTGTATGCATTTGGTCAAATGGATCTAGATAATTAAATTAATAATAACATTTAGATATTTAGATATTATGTATATTAGTATTTAATTATATCCTATTATAGGCATCATAATCATAATCATAATCATTTATTATATTGTCATATTAAATTAATATTAATGATAGAATTGTTAAAAATAATTAGATTTTAAATTTGCCAACAAAAGTGAACATTAATGCCGCATGGAATTTGGAGAGATCAAAATTGTTAAATGACACAATTGTATTGCCAATATAATGTGATTATGATGATTTAACGGCTTTGCGACATTTCATGTTCCATTTTTTTTTTAGAAAGTATAGGTTACACGGATTTATTAGAAAAAAACATGTTTTTTATCTATTTTTCAAATGTAATTTTTTCTTTAAATTAGATTTTTTAGGGTAAGATTGGCACCGTTAACCGGGAAATTCTATCGAATGTGACCGCCAAACACTATGATTCGAAAGTATTTTTTGAAAAAAGAATGTGACTGCCTCACCATAGATTCGCATTAATTAGAGTTGTTAGTCGAAAGGTATAGTTTCGACAAACATTTAGGCATTTCGACTGTCGAAATATATTCTACAAGGTCACTTTATTTGCCGTAATGTCGAAACATGTTGAAATGTCGAAAGTCTAAATATTTGTCTCCAAATTAATTATTAATGTATAAAACTGACTATTTTCACCACCAATAATATTAGTATTAGTAAATTTGAGAACGAAGCCAATTTTTTAATAATAATAAAATAATGCGGGTTTTTTTGTTTGTTTGAAGTTAGCTGATACACTAAAAATATCAATCGCATTCATCTTTTATCATTGATACAATGTAACTTCACTGTGACACGTGATCTCCAAGGAAATTTAATTTTTTCTTCCAACATCCAATTCAATCTTTATCATAGAAAAATATAAAATTTGTGATTTTTTTTTTACGAATTATTCCCAATATTGTTATAAGGGAATAGATTTTATTTTTATTGTATTTATATTAATAAATTATGATTAATTTAAAACATTTTGACAACATTTAGGCATTTTGTTTCAATAACATTCAGGCATTTTGACATTATTTAGACTTTCAGCATCAATTTGGACTTTTGATGTGATCAATCAATTTAGACTTTTGACATTAATTTAGACTTTCGACATTAATTTAGACTTTCGACATCAATTTAGACTTTCGACATGCCTAAATGTTGAATGACGAAACGTTTCGACTAACAACTCTATCAAAGTTAGATGTAAATATATTTTTGTACGATCCCGCTCTATTCAAGCTAAAAAATGAATACCAAACTTAACCATCACAAAGTATAACGAAAACCTTTAAGCTACTACTTGACTTTATATCCAAAAGTACCTAACAAAGACACGGATGTCATAGTATTAAAATTGATGATCTTGTTCTTCCTCCAACATATATATGGTCAGTTATTCGACAACTACCTGCTAATTATTTATATTATACACACTTATCTTTAAACAAATATCAAGTTGTCATAATTGGGGAGCTTGGACTTCCAAATCTCCCGCGCCTAAAACTTTCTGTTGCTGTTTTAGGCGATGTACATGATTGCGATCGTGTTAAAGGAATGGCCTTGAATCCATGACCTTAAAAAACTCGACAAGGAAAATATGCAACTGAATCTTTAATCAAACAATTTCCAAGATTATTAAGACCTGAATTATTTACATGGGTAATTATCATCACCATTATCATCATCACCATTATTATTATCATTGGTATAGTTAATAAATCAACTTATTCGTTTTATTACTTAACAATAATCAATCTTATTAGCTGGAAAATTTTCAACACCTGTAACTTATAACGATGATGATTTAAATGCTAAAGCTGATGTTAAAATGAGTGGATATGAATTTGCTGCAAATATAATGTCGAGCGTTAATTTCTTGGTTTCTCTAATTAAGAAGAATTGGCAAAATGTTAAACGTTTATATATTAAATCCTCGATGTGTAAGCGTCAACTAACGTTTATATTAACAACGTGAACGTCACTGTTGTAAATGAAATTTGCAATTCACGCATATTAACCAATCAGAATTTCATATCCAAACACCCCAAAATTTTAATTATAAAATTTCGACTTCACAAGTTTCAATTTCACTCACATACAACATCACTATACATCGATCCGCTCTCTCACCAAAACCATCATTTTTAGTTTTATTATTAAAAGTAGTTATTATCGTTGTATTAGCATGTATTCTTGTATTGGGAGCTAGAACGTTTACTCTAAATTTTTGTTTATATAGTGCAAGTCACTCATTCAGCCCATTGTTTTTGGAAATTTTCAAATTTTCGATTCGTTCATTTTTAATTGTGCAACTTTCCTCTATGGTGAAGAGAAAGGTTTTTGTTTTTTTCCATTTTTGGAGAAATTAAAGGATCCACATAGCCAATAAAAAGTTCAGCGACTATCTTCTACATAGTAATAAAATAATAGAGTGAAGGTTATAATCACATGCTTCGGAATTTGTATAAATAAGATTAGAGATATTATTTTGATATTAAAAAATAAATGTTTTTGATAAATCTTTACAAATATCATCTTACACGCAGACCAATTTTAACACAATCCATAACCGCAGGTGAGAGAATCCACGATGATTAACGACGATGATATAACGACAATTATTATAATTATGGATAAACAAACAAATTAATGAAAATTTATAAATTTGGGTGAAATAGGATTTTTATGTGGCTTGGGAGATACAATAGCTCAACATGTTGTTGAAAAACGAGGAATTAAAAATCATGATTCCTATAGAACAATTAGAATCGGAGGATTTGGTCTTTTGATAGCTGTATTTATTATTATTATTATTATTTCATGTATTCAGTAACAAACAATATACAAAAGTATTATTAATAATGACTATTTAGGGACCTGTACCAGCTGTTTGGTATCGTATACTAGATCGATATGTTAAATTTGAAAATCCAATAACTGGTTGAATTTTTATTAAAATTTCCTTCCTTCCTCATTTTTTTTATAACTGATAATTTTTGTGGATGTGTAGGATTGTTGGCACGTGTAGCACTTGATCAAATGGTCTTTGCACCAACTTTTATAGCTGGTTTTTTCCTAATTCAAGGAATCTTGGAGGGTAAAACTAAACTTCAATTAACTAGAAAACTTGAAAAAGTAAGATCTAAAATGAAGATTTTTAAATTATTTAAATTATTTGCATTTATAAAAAATTCTTGTTAATTTTGTTGATTTTGTTTATATATGTAATTATGTATATACATAGGCATATTTACCAGCATTATTAAATAGTTATAAAATTTGGCCAATCGTACAATTAATTAATTTTCGTTTTGTACCATTGGATCATAGATTGTTGGTGGTTAACACTGTAGCGCTTGGATGGAATACTTACTTATCTGTTACCAATAATAAAGTTCAATGAATTAATGAAAAAACAATCTCTAATTACTCTCAATTTGTTTGTAAGTGAATATTTTTTAATTATTGTTATCATTGCTATTATTATTATTATCTAATGTAATATCTCCACATGCATAAAAAAATAGGATTTAATTTTTTATTATGTAAAATATATCAATGAAATATATATATATCCATTTCTAAAATATATAACTATAAATTATAAAAATAAATCACTGCATGGTGGTGACTGTTAAAATTTCTTCTTGGCTTAAAGAGATTGATTGTATTGATAATTAATAGTCATTATTATTTTCACCACTAATTCGAACTGGATTAACATCCTTCTTTCCTTATTATTATTATTATTAATCCATCAAAATTGTGCATTTTCTATTTCTATCATTTGCCTTACTTTCATCTTTAGGTTTTCACTGCCGTTGATTATCATGGAATTTGTATGGTGAACATTACTAACATTTATTATTCGTAATATTAATTGATAGAGTAGTATTGTTGACAGTAGCAATGATATTAGTATTGTTGGCAGGAGTAGTAATAATGGTGATTGATATTGGTATTGGTTGTAAATGTGTATTGTGGTAGCTTGATCTTCTTGGTAGGGTAGAATACAGTAATCAGTTGTTCCTTTGTGATGTGGTATTGATAGTGGTGTAATCTTGACATTATGATTATCATCGTCACCTGTGACTCTTTTGAGGAGTTAAATTCCTTTAGTAGTTTGGGTGTATGATTCTGGCTGTCATTTCAATTTTTTGATTTGAATCTTCTTTGATACTAAATTTAAATGGTACAGGTTCTGGAGATTCTTGAGGTTTAAGAGATAAAACTGATCATGTTACAATTGTGATGATAATGATTAAATTTTAGTCCTTGAAATCCTTGGTAATACCAATGTTCACTTTGTCCGGTTTTGTTGCAAGCGTGCCACATATAATAGTACTAGTTATTTATTTAGGGCATGTCGCTTATTAATATTATTGGTGCGATCACATTCCCGGTCCTATATATAAAAGTGGATCATGCCGATCATTATTATTATTATTTTTTTTTAAACGCGTTTTTCAAAATGATCCAAACAAGCATAGAAGAGCATTCAGATTGGTTTTATAAACAACAAATAAAAAGGAAAGCTCGTAAAGAGTCGGATTTTTACACCATTTTTAACCCTTTTGATGAAGAGTGTTTGAAAAAGTATGAATATGTTTCTATCCAAGAAAGAGATAAAATAATTCATATTCTTGATGATACTTGTTTGAAGGAGTGTGAACTTAATTCTAATCAAGGAGATAAACTTTATAATAATGGCAATAACTATACCAATGGAAATGTAAAAGGAAAGAATGTAAATAACAACAATTAACTAATAATAAAATTGATATTGGCATTAAATACAGTAATGTGATTTACAATTTTAATTTTTATAATTATGTATTTATTTAATCTATTATTAGGAAATGTGTATAGAAGTACCTGAAGAGACAACCCTAGCAACATATAAAAAAAACTATCCAGAAGAAGATAAAATATCTGACATTCTTGATGATGCTTGTTTAAAGGAGTATGAACTTAATTCTATTCAAGGAGATAATCTTTATAATAATGGCAATAATTATGCTAATGGAAATGTAAAAGGAAAGAATGTAAATAACAACAATATCATTGATTATGATTATGATTATGATTTTGATGATATACCAACAACCTCGGTAAAAAAAAAATCTTTTTGATTCTTCAAGTATAAATGATTATTTGAATTTAATTATAGAATTAGATAATAATATCTATAATTTCATTGAAAGGATTTGCACAGTAACATGTTTTACAATTTTAATTTTTATAATAATATATTTATTTAATCTATTATTAGGAAATGAGTATAGACGTACCTGAAAAAACAATCCTAGAAACATATAGAGAATATTATTCAATAACAAGAGATTTATTGAAATTAATTTATGAGAAGAATAATTTAAAAAACTCAAAGATATTAGAGTTGGAAAATGAAAGGTATCTTCAATTCAATTAATATGCTAAATATTAATATATTTTAATTCATGAGACATTTGTTTATCATTAACATTAAAAAATATTGGCAACTATTTAGGAAAATATTGTCTCAAAAAATTGATAAAATTGATGCTAATCATCAATCATCATCATCATCACCACCGCTACAACCATCAACTTTATCATCTTCCTATTTACCATCAAAACCATCAGTATCAAAATTTTCTTGTTCTTTTTCCTCACCAGCACCACCATTACTGATATCATCAACTTCATCCCCTTATTTACCAGAGCCATCCATGTCAATGTCTTCTTGTTTTTTTTCCTCACCAGCAGCACCATTACTAACATCATCATCGTCCTACTCACCACCAGAGCCAGAACCATCAGTTTCGTCATCTTTTTATTCACCACCAGAACAGTCAACATCAACATCATCTTGTTTTTTCCCCCCGCCAGCACCACCAACGCAAACCACTTATAATTATGAATGGTCAGCAGAAGTTGAAAATGTTTTGCATAATATATTTGGACTAGAAAGTTTTAGAAGGAACCAGTTGGAAGCCATTAACGAAACACTCAATGGAAAAGATGTTTTTGTGCTAATGCCAACTGGCGGAGGGAAGAGTTTATGTTACCAGTTGCCCGCAATGGTGGAAACTGGAAAAACAAAAGGGATAACAATTGTAATTTCACCATTGCTTTCACTAATTATAGATCAAGTTTATAATCTGAATAGGCGTGGTATATCAACCTTATGTTTGTATGGTGAACAAGAAGCTAATCAAAGACAAAATGTATTTACTGAACTTGAAAAATATAAACCAAGTTGCAAGATTTTTTATTTAACTCCTGAGATGTTAAATAGAAGTACTGCAGTTGCATCAGCAATAAAAAGGTTGTACGATAGAAAACAATTGGCAAGATTCGTTATTGATGAGGCTCATTGTGTTAGCCAATGGGGTCATGATTTTAGACCAGATTATAAAGAGTTGTGCAATCTAAAAAAAATATATAACGATATACCTATTATCGCTTTAACTGCAACTGCAACTCTTAAAGTCAAACTTGATGTCATGAAACTTTTAGAAATTCAACATTGTAAAGTTTTACAACAAGGATTTAACCGAAAGAATCTTTATTATAAAGTTTGTCCCAAAGATAGTAGTAATAAGGCGTTGGAAAATCTTGTAAAACTCGTTCAAAGTCATGGTGGTGGATCGGGTATTATTTATTGCACAGTTAAACTCAAATGTGAAAATGTTGCAAAATACCTGCAACAATCAAGAATCTCCGCCAAGTATTACCATTCAGGTTTAGACAAGGCAGATAGAATAAATGTGCAAAATGAATGGCAATCTGGCAAGCTGCAGGTTGTCGTTGCGACCACTGCCTTCGGAATGGGTAAGTTATATGTGATTTTTAAAATTTTACTAATATGATATATATATATATATATATATTGCAAGAATTACATTGAATTTTTTTTAATATATATTTGCCAATTGTATAAAGGAATCGACAAACCCAATGTAAGGTTTGTGATTCATTACTTGCTACCACAATCTCTAGAAGGGTATTACCAAGAGACTGGCAGAGCTGGCAGAGATGGTAAACCTGCTCAATGTGTTCTATTTTATACATTTAAAGAATACATATTGATAAAAAAGATGATAAACGGTGGAGATGGAACTGAAATGCAAAAACAACAACAGTTCTTAAATTTATTTTCAATGATGAAGTATTGTGAAAATAATATCGATTGTAGAAGGCAGCAATTGTTAGGTTATTTTGCAGAAAACTTCAATCCAGCAGAATGCCAACAAACGTGCGATAATTGTCGAGAGCTTATAAATCATCAAGTTGTGGAAACAGATTATTCATATGTAGCAAAAAAGATTATCGAGTTAGTTTCAGCACATCAAGTCAAGAATTTAACATTAGTACAGTTTGAAAAAATATTTTTGGGAGATAATACTAAACCAACTAAAGAATTGATGATAAAAAAAAATATCAAAGTCACCAATAATATGATCGAACCCAAACTTTCTAAAATTGTTTGTGAAAGATTATTCCAAAAACTAATCATAGATCAAATATTAGAAGAAGTGATAATTCAGAGAAATACTGCCTATTCAGTTACGTATTTAAAGGTAATTAGAAAAAGTATAATATAGTAATGATTTTATTTACTTTTGTTAATAATTTTTTTTCTATGATAATAGGTAAATTCACGTTATTCGCACGCAAATAATAAGATAATTTTAAAAGAACTTGTATAATATTATTATTTCAAAAACCCCAATTTATATATTGCTAATGATATTAACGACTTTATTGGATACTGATGGTGGTTGACATTACTAGTGTTATATTAATACTTGTAGTAATTTATTTTATTCTTTGGTTAATAAAAATATTTTGCTTATAATGTTTAGTTTTTTGAATTAAATAAATTTTTCTCAAACAAGTAACAGAGCAACGAGTGATCGAGTAAAAAAAAGGAAAGAAAAGATAGCAAAATTGAGGACTAACAGTCAGTTCATTAATTATATGGATGACAAAAATCCAATGAATAAAATGCGTCCCAAAGTTTTTTTATTCCTGATTGATAAATTTACATAATATAAAAACAGATTGTAATGATGCTTTAAAAGACTACAAGGAGAAGAGATATTTTAATATTATTTCATGAATCGTGAATAGAGAATATGATTTCTTGATTTTCATTTTTTTTAAAGGATTTGCTTTTTGAATAATTGATTTATTTAAAAATGTTCAGCTTTTAATTTGTTCTTCACTACCACCAATTCACTTGATTGATTGATTTGTTTTTTCAATACCTAGCTTCTAGCTAGGTGACATGTTCTCAATTACACATTTCCTTAATTCGATTTTAGGTTAAGGAATATTCGCGTTATTAATTTTTGCAAACTCTAGAATTTCAAACTTTAGTGAATTTTCTCTTTTGGTCCATTTCTTTTAGTACTATATCTCTGTTTACACCACTAATAATAAACAACTCGCTGATTAAATCTTCTTCCAAACACTATAATAACTTTTCAGCAAAGGAAATAAAGAATTAATATAATACCTTTAGGATTGTTGTAAAAGTTTTGGTCAGTTAACTTTTTGGCTTATAAATTTTTCAATATCTTTAACATATTTTTTTCTTCCACAGTTTTTGGAATTAATTTATAACCATCAGGGCTAAATCAAGTCTGATTGATTAGTATATAAATTACTATTAAAATAAAATAGACTTTAAACCTTTGATATTTTTTTTTTAGTCAATTTCATCATAGGTTAAGAATAGCTTTTAATCTTTTTTTAAAACTAAAAAATAAAAAAATATACTAATACTCTAAAAGAAAGTTCTCGGGTATATTTTACATGTAAATGCTAATGTTACAAACAACGATAATATTTTTTTGCTCTGAAACAAGAATTAAAAACTGTAAAAAAAGTTTGACATTTACAATTTAGTTTTAATTCACTATTCATTATATTCTTAAATTAATTAATCATCCATAGATAATTCATCAAACTTATTAACTCTTTCGATATTTTTTTCTTTAGTATTATTACTAGAATCTAATTAATTAAAACAGAATAAAAAAAAGATTGTTAGTAATAATTTAATTTCCTAATTAATTAATAATGGAAATTTTATTCACCTCCAACATTTAAGAGAAGAGAGTTGAAATCAAGATTATTTAATGAACTATCATTACTTGTATAGCTTTTTAAGCTTTTTGATTTAGTAATTTCATCATCTAATATTCTACTTGTATGATATGCATCTGGGTGTGATTTGTGTACTTGTTGTGAATCACCACTAGTAGTATTATTGCTATTGTTATTAATACTACTAATACTATTATTATCATTATTATTAAGAATTCCTTTATATTTATCTCTAGCAAATTTCAAAAGTTCTTCAATAGTTGGTCTTTTTGATGGATCCACATCCCAACACCTCTCCATCATTTGTGAATAATCATCAGGCATTCCTGGTAGTATTGGTGGTCGTAAACCTTCACATATATCAAAAATTAGACGATGATTATGAGCTCTTTTGTCAAATGGTGGATGACCTGCAAATATTTCCCACATTAACATCCCAACACTATAAATATCAGTTTCTTTTGTGTTCTT